AACTAGTTTCAGAGGATTTCACAGTCAAAACACAGTGCATTAGATACATCAGAACTGTCCATTGGTCCCTGTTAGAGCTGTTGCACCAACTCCTTTTATTTACCTAACAAAATCATCTTGCTTTTCAAATAAAATACTTTATCATGTATAGCATACCTGGCCAATCCTGCTATGCTTTGTAAGAACCAGAACCCAACTTCAGAACACTACCTTCTCAAATGTCTTTCTGCCTCTGTTAATATGTTGAAATAATATTCTCACCTAGTATTACTTAACTTTGATGTGCAGAATTTCTGGAGTAGTGATGCCTTCTCTAAAGTGCAAAGCCTTCTTTAGTTTAAAGGAAGTAGTCAGGTGTCTCTAGAGTGCTATAATCTCCATCCACAGCTGAGTTCTCCAGTCTGATTTTAAAAAAGAAAAGAAAAAGAAAAAAAAAAGAGGTTTTTCTGTCTGAGTCTTACTCAGGCCTCAGGCCTATCCTCTTAAGAAGTATTACAAACCGTCACCATTCTCAAACTCCTGAAACACCATCTTAGCCTCACTGTGCAAATAAGCCAGCCTCTTCATTCATGAAAGTGGTTAAACTTCCTGTTCTGACCCTTTCTCTTTTCTCAAATCTACCTGTGTCTCTTGTTTCTAAATATATGACCACCCCTGTGCCTTGGGCTCCATTTGTTCACGACTTTTGAGGGACCTTAGGTCTTCAAAAATACCCTCTCTTGCCTGTGTACTTAACTTTTCTTTTTTTCTCTTCTAATTCTTCCTTCTCTTCATCTGACACTTTCCCTTCGGGGCATGTGAACACTCCGGTCTCTTCCACCTTCATCTGCCTAGCTTCACTGCACGGGCTCTTAAACCATCACACCCAAGCTATAAAAGAGTGATCCACACACAGTGATCCCACTTCCTTGCCATCTAGTTTTTCTTCTGACACTCTGAGCAGTCCTTCACAGGCTCCCCACCCCCACCCCAGAAGCTTATTTTTCCAACTTCTCACTACATGTCCCAGTGAATTACTTTCAATTTTCCTAAACTTCTATGGCTTTGCACACATTCTCACCTCTGCCTGGAACTATTTCTTCTGCTTTTCCATCTTTATACTCTTACATCATTTTTTAAGATTGGGGTCAGCTCTGAGCATCCAGGAAGCCTTTGCCAAAACCACTAGAGTGAGCTTGGTCGCTGTTTCATTTTCTTGTGTTATCCTCTGTTTTCTTTGCTCTTCTAGGGACATTACATGTGATGCCTCATTTAATCCCCAACAGTTTGAGGCAAATACTATTATTACAATCAAACCAATGAGAAAACAGAGGCTCAGAGACACTGAGTAACTTTGCTCAAAGTTAGAGAGCCAATAAGTGGAAACATTTATATTTGAACCCAGGCTCACCCTGGGTTCAATAGGTAAATAAATCAGTATAACCCAAGTCATATTCTAAAGCTCTCATGTTTAACCTACTTCCCTTCCCCCCATGTGTACTCTTAGTCTCTGAGCTTGTGGAATGAATAAGTGTACTCTTTTTTTCTTAAAAGATGAATCAGAATTGAGACAGGCTTAAATTTCCTAATAGAGATTTTTAAAACTGTAGCACAAACCTAAAAAAAGATTATGGCATTCTCAGGAAAGAGGAAAAGTATGTTTGGAAATGATAACAATAACCAACAAATTTTAGAATTTAAAAAGCTTTTTGGCATGCATTGTCTTGTTTTTTGAACCCACAAAATATATTATGATCCCATTTTATACGTGTGAAATCTGAGAATGACATAGGCAGGACTTTATTTTGTGATTCTTCTAGGACTTACCACTCAAGTCTGAGATGATACAAATGAGTAAATTGGGAGTGTGGTGAGTACTTTAAAAGAAAGCCCAGGAAAGTTTTCACTTTGTTGGTAACTATTTACACAAGATTTATGACAGATAATGGAGTCAGTTTCTACAGCAAAGGGGACCCATCCATAAATGCCATAATCTTTCAGGAGCTCCGCTGCAAGGCATGTAGAGTGTATACATATCTAAAACCTGTTCTTGGTATTTCTAAAGCAGTCAACTCCCACATCTATATATACTGCATCCAAAGGTTGTTTATGTATGATTCCATCTCTTGTTTTCTTCCCCATTAGCTCAATATGTTGCACAAGAGCTAAAAGAGTTTTTGATGTAGGAATCCACAGTAGCATTTTCAGAGGAATCTCTGAATTCCCTGAAGATTTTATTCAGAAATACCTGTTGCAAATAAACACAGCTTTTAAAAAATGTATTACACACTTTCTTTTTTGAGGAGGGGACCGTAGCTTTCAACAGATTCTTGAAGGAGGCTATTCTTTCCACCCCACCCCCAGATTAAGAACTATTATTTTAGTGATAGAAACTAATTTTGATATTGTTCTAAAAGCCAGACATCCTAGAAAGGAAATCTGTCCCCTCCCTCCCGTCACCACAATCATTATTTCTTCCTCCTCCAACATAAGTTACCTGAAACTACATTAAAAGAATGTATGTTCTTTAGTCACAGTTTGAATTTTCCACACCATTGTTATCCAGGTAATTGGGGGGTGCCTGGAGAAAAATATAGATGGCACCACAAGGTACTATGGGGTTTTTTGTTTGTTTGTTTGTTTTAGTTGGAGTCTCACTCCACCGCCCAGGCTGGAGCACAGTTGCATGATATCCCAAAGTATTTTCATCAGCATCATTTTTAAAACTGCTTGTTTTAAAATCGAGCAGCAACTGAAAGTACACCAAGGTATTCTGGGTCTACATAATAAATCAAACAGGGATTTAAATAAAACTTTTTTTTTTTGAGTCGGAGTCTCACTCCGTCGTCCAGGTTGAAGTGCAATGAGACACTCACGGCCACCCCAGCGTCCACTTGCTGGGCTCAGGAGATCCTCCCGCCACAGCCTTCCAAGTAGCTGGAACTACAGGCACGCACCACCATGCCGGCTAATTTTTTTTAAAAATTTATTGTAGAGATGAGGTGTCACCAAGTTGCCCAGGCTGGTCAAGACCCCCTGGACTAGGCAATCCTATCGCCTCGACCTCCCAAAGTGCTGGAATTACAGGCTTGAGCAACCGTGCCGGCCTGCTGTGGGTTTTTATAACATACTTGATATCCCAAAGTATTTTTGTGGGCATCATTTTAAAACGGCATGTTTTAAAATCGAACACCAACTGAAAGTACTCCAAGGTATTCTGCGTCTACAAAATAAATCAACCAGGAATTTAAAAAAAAATTTTTTTTTTTTGAGTCAGTCTTTGTCGCCCAGGCTGGAGGGCAGTGACACACTCATGGCCACCCCAGCTTTGACCTGATGAGCTCAGGCGATCCTTCCGCCTCAGCCTTCCAAGTAGCCGGAACTACATGCGTGCGCTTCCACGCCCGGCTAAAATTTTTCGATGTATTGTAGAGATGATGTCTCACCAAGTTGCCCAGGCTGGTCTCGAGCCCCTGAGCTCATGCAGTCCTCTCCCTCTGCCTCCCAAAGTGCTGGGATTACAGGCTTGAGCCACTGCGCCCGGTCTGAAATAAAACTTTTAAACAGAGCTGGATTATCTGGTAGGCAAGTAAGCCTGTGTTTAAGGCATCAGCAAAGTCTGAGCAAGATTGTAAACGAATCCTCAAAATGAACCATTTAATAGCTAACTGGTATCGGCTTAGTGCGTGTGGCTGTTGTTGATGCTTACACACACATCAATCACTTAAACTCACCAACAGCTCTGTAGAGCAGGGACCACTCTGATCCCACCCCCCTTCCCCACCTCCATCCCCTTTGCAGTAGAAACGAGAAGTGTAGGGAAGGAGATTCAGGACAGTGTGTGAAATTGGTCTCTGAATCACTTGAGACCCTTCCTCTTGAAACCTGAGCACATTTTCTGGTCTGGGAATAAGGACTCATTCAGAACGGAGTCCCATCTGCCAGTAACTCCCTCCCCACTTTCCTATATGCTTACCGGCAGAACTCTTCCCCATCCGTATGAAATAGATCTTATCTTTTCCGAGCCACCCTTAGGCCAGGGATCACTCTTGTCGCCCGGAGAAAGGTCGCCCAGACTTCGAAGGGGGGGAGGCGGGGAAGGAGCCGCCGGCGCGCAGGCCCACTCTGCGCCATGAACTCGGCTAACACCTCCAGCACCCTGAGCCCCACGCTCCAAAGTCGGGTTGGAGCGGGGTAAGGCCGAGCGTGGCCTCCAAGAGGTGGTGCCGACCCTCGGTGGGGCTCTTGCAGCCGGGAGGGGGGAGCTTCGCAGCGTCTTATGACCCGCAGAGGGAACGGCACTTTGCCTGCCACATCAAACACCGCGGCTCGATTTGGCAGTTAGGAATCCCCAGCAGCTTTCTTCTGCCAGGGGGGTTGAACCGGGGAGGAAGGTAACCTGGAGGAAACGCATTTCACAAAGAGACCTCGCCCCGAGAGCCGCACGAGGCTTTAGCCGGGGGCGGGGAGAGCAGCGGCGCCCGAGGCGGAGGGGGGCGCCGAGGGGGATGGGTGGGTGGAAGGGAGCCCGGGGCGCCCGCCCCGCCACGCTCCGCGGGGCTCTGGGCGCGGGCCGCTTCCGGCCGGTTCCCTGGGAGAGTCTCGCGTGGGGCGCCTGGAGAGGTGTCGCGTTAACAGCACGGGCAGGGAGAAGAGCACTTTCTCTGAAACGCGCGAGCTCCTCCTCCTTCCTGCAGTGGAGAGGCGCGCGAGCCCGCCGCAAGAGTCGAGGGGCAGAGGCCGGGGGGCCTCTTCCGCCAGCCGGGGGGGAAGAAAGAGGAGGGCGGGCTGGTCACGGGAGGCAGGGGCGGGCCGCCGGCG